TTTCGTGCGCCTAGCCTTGAACCTGGCGTCTCGAATGAAGACGTCACGGCGCTTAACAGCGGCTCTAGCGCACGTGGCGCCCGTCGTCTTTACCACGTTACGCTTACGCAGATGCCTCCTTTTGACGGAATGGCTAGGAATGCCGGCTGTTTCGACACACCTAATTTCAAGTGCGCTACCTTTGACAGGCACTGCCAAAACTCTAGATTGGTTAGCTAGCCTTTCTTCGGGCCCGTTGCTAGCTGTCTCTGTTTGCGACAGAACGGGCTTCCCGATCCCTTCAACCAACCAACACGCCTAGAGAGCTTTTGATCTGTGGGGGTCTATCGCTGTCGTGGATAGCCCTACTTCTCTGGCCTTCGAAGTTGGCCTCATGCTCTCTTTGACGCGATTCATCATGATCACGTGCGCTGCGAAGCGGCTCCGTCTCTTGCGCTTTATGGTGCACCTCGGCGCCCTTAGCTACGCGATGGGCCTCTGCCCCTAACTCCTCGCCATACACCTCAGCGTCTGGCTCTATCCGACGCACTTCGGCGTTTTGCACCATGTGACCGGCCTCAACGTCAGATACCTTTCGACTTTCCTCAGCGCCCCGCTTTCTTTGACGCACTTCAGCGGCTTGTGCATAGCAACGGGTCTCAGCCTCTTGCGCTTTCCTTCTGTCCTCATGATATAACAGTTTTCGGTGAGCGACATCGTCAAGCGCCACGTGGCGGGCCTCAGCCTCCATCGTTTCACGTCGGGCCTCATCCTCACGCTCTTTTCGGCAGGCATCTACCTTTAGCGCCCTTCGACGCGCTACAGCGCTGTCTCTATCGCTCCGACTTTCCCAGTCAGCAGGACTCGAAAGAAAAAAATATCGTATTAAGGCATATCTAGCATGACTGAAGTCTCCTGCTTCCTCGAAGGGTAAGCAATTCAAAACATGCGCGATCTTGCGCGGCAACAACGTGGCGAGCTTCTCAACCCAAAGGTCGCGGCTAACGCCAACATCACAGCAGACAACTTCAAAATCTTCAAGAAAATGCGCGATGTTCTCGCCTGTCTGAAAGTTGTGGAGCTGGTGTTTCGCTCGCTCCCATTTAAGCGCTTGAATTTTAAGATCAAGCTCTTTCATTCTGAGAGAATGTTCTCTCCTTTTTCGACACTCCTCGGCCTTCCGCTTTTGCTCACAAATGAGCTCCCAAAACTCGTCAGCCTCATCGGCAGTCACATTTTCTGCCCGCATCACCTCGAGAATCGCTTCCTTTGTTTTAGCGGACCCGGCGGAAATCCCCATGGCTCCACAAATTTCGAGGAGGTCCTCCACAAGGTATTGCTCCATCGCGATCTCGTTCCTCGTGATGCTCTACTACTGATATTCACCGTACTCTAAAACTAATCTCGTGGTTTAAAGTAGGTGAATATACATTTTAACCAACAAAACAAATCAAAACAAAACACTCTCCTAACATCTGCCTGTGCTAGAGAGGTCTGGCGAAGTGAACAGTAAACGTTGGGCACTCACCCAACCAAAGTAGCCGACGATGGTCCAACTCGTGGCTGCCGTCGAACAGTATCAGGCCTTCAGGGATCCGGTCCAACTTGCCAATGTTGAGATCCGCGGTTGCTTGTCCCAGCTTGCCGAACGATGAGAACAAGGGTAGCGTGTCGCAGCGTAGCCAAACGCTATCACGGCGGTCGTCCTCGTGCATCCAGGGGTCTGATCCGGCGTGCCAAACGTAGGATATCTTATCCCACCGCTGCCACCACTGTTATGAATTTGCTCTGTCGCGATGGTAGCGGTGGTGGAGAGCGGCGAGCCGTCGAGCGGACTTCGATGAAGCCTTAGCCCGAAGGTGAAACAGGGAGGCAATCCGTTTGGAAAACAGCAACAAAAGTAGCGTTTACTGTAGCAGGTTGTCGTTTTACAGAGGCGGCCAGCACGACAACGTCGGCTGGGGCAAAATCTCCTAACATGGGGCCGGCTCGGCCTTAAATACGCGCATTGCCTGACCAAGTAGACCGACATGCTTCGCATAGCGTTATTCGACCTTCACAGAGCCGAAACGCGCCCTCCGTTAGTCCTCGTAAAAAAAAAAGAAAATTTCTTCGTTTCTTTCTGTTCGATTACCGGCAATTGAACAAGATCACTCTCAAGAATGTCTATCCACTGCCACGCATTGATGATGCTTTGGACTGTTTACAGGGTGCCGAGTTCTTTTCCTCGTTAGACTTGCAGTCAGGCTACTGGAAAGTGCCGATGGTGGAGGCCGATCGCCCCAAAACCGCTTTTTTTCACGCCAGACGGCTTATATGAATTCACCGTCATGCCCTTTGGACTTTGCAACGCGCCTGAAACGTTCGAACGAATGATGGACAACATCCTGCGTGGACTAAAACGGAAGATCTGCTTGTGCTACCTCGATGATATCATGGTCTTCGCCCCTAACTTCTACACACACTTACGAAGCCTTCAGCACGTCCTTACTTGCTTGACCAACGCCGGTTTGCAATTAAACCTTAAAAAATGTCGATTTGCAATGCGTAAACTGAACACCTTGGGCCACGTTGTTTCTCCCGGATCCCGAGAAATTGCGCTCTGTTACGGTGTTTCCTAAACCCGCCACCATCAAAGAACTTCGGAATTTTATTGGCTTGTGTTCGAATTTCCGGCGATTCATCAGAAACTTTGCGTCTATTATATCCCTCTCACGCAACTCCTTGGCAACTGTAAAAACCTCTCATCGTGTTCCCTTGCCTGCGACGAGGCTTTCGCCACCTTGCGACGGCTTCTCCCGACGCAGCCATTTGTACGCCATTTCGATAATGAAGCTCAACCTGAAATCCACACCGACGCCAGTGGTGTAGGCCTGGGTGCTGTGCTCGCATAGCGTAAACCGGAGCATATGAAATACGTCGTGGCATACGCTAGTCGCACACTCACCAAGGCAGAGAGCAACTACTGCGTCACGGAAAAAGGGTGTTTGGCCATTGTGTGGGCGCTTGGAAAGTCTCGCCCATATCTATATTTATGGCCATTCTTTTGACGTCGTGACCGACCACCATGCACTGTGCTGGCTTTCGACGTTAAAAGACCCATCTGGCCGCCTCGCTCGCTAAGCGTTGGAAATCCAAGATTATGACATAGGCACCCGGCAGTGCAGTTTTCTAGATATGATGGTAGTGGCAGAACAGACAGCCTAGCGAGTATACGCGCAGCGAAACCGAGTCTTCCGATGCGCCGGCTAGCGAGTAGACGCAGCAAAACCAAAGTTGCACGTGCATATCATTTTCTTTCTTAGTTGTGAGCAAGGGGGTCACGGCTGATTATGTAAGCGCTCAGGAAGCGTTCTTTGAAAACGTGCTAAAAAGGGCACTGACACTTCAGCGTGTCACTGTGTTCAGCGAGCGTTTCATTTTCTTAGTATCCCTGGCGGTCGGTACCAACAATGCTGAGGCGGCCCAAATAGATTCGTCACACCCTCTGGTCCACTGTCGGGTGCCTGTTCACCTTTTCATAAACGCCTCCCTGGGCGCCGCCATAGCCGTCCTTGGTCTGTGCAAATTGGTGCGTCCCCTCGAAAATGCACTGAGAACGCTGCGTCCTTAACCTTTGTACTCCCGTGCACAGCCCATCATGACGGTGTTTTTTCCCTTCCCGTGAAAAGTTATATACTGACACTAGACACACTGTTGGGTGAAGGTGCATCGATAAGGACGGAAGCATGCTGACGCCGACGCCCTTTCCCGTTCCCCCCCCCCCCCTTTCTCGGAATGTCACAGCTGACTCCGCTTGCGATCCCACATTGTCATTTCTTCACTTTGACACCATTGCTATCGAAGAACGCAATGACCCGTGGACTGCGTCTCTTCTATATCCTCTCTCCGATACTTCTGAACACCCAAAGACGCGAATACTCTGGCGTCAAGTTCCACACTTCTCGATACGTGACACGCTTTTCTATTGACGCAACTACGCACCAGAGGAACCCAAGTGACTGCTCGTCGTTCCACGAACCCTGTTCAACCAACCGCAGTATGTAAAGCCCACGTAACAATTCAGGACGTTCTGCATACGATAGAGCTCATCGTTCTTTCATCGTGCTCCCATACTATTATCTTGGGATGGAACTTTTTAAACGCATATCACCGATGAAACATATCTGAGGTCACAGATATGTTCCTCGTTCCACGCTGACCTACAATGTGACCATGCAGGAGTCTTCAAGACCTACGAAGGCTTCGACACCGTAACTACTGGCGTAGTATGTATACCTTCGTCCGCAACTTCGTCCGCTCTTGTGCCAAGTGTCAGCGCCGAAAATCTCCACCGCACGCCTCCGCCTGTTGACTACAGCTTTTACCATGCCCTTTCCGACCCTTCGAACGGATCAGAATAGATCTTTATGTGCCCCTTCCATTGACTCCGACTGGTAACAGCTGGATTAGTTGCTATCGACCCTCTAACGCGCTATGCTGAGACTGCTGCTCTTCAAACGGCTACAGCACAGGAGGTTGCCACTTTTCTACTGCGTCGTTTTGTGCTGCGTCATGGATGCACTCAAGAACTTCTCAGCGACCGTGTCCGCGCCTTCTTGTCCGAGGTCATTGTACAATTGCTCACTGAGTGTGCTATTGTACATCGCACATGTACCGCTTACCATCCTCAAACCAATGGGGCTACCGAGCGCTTTCATCGTACTCTCGGTGATATGCTCTCTATATACGTGACGCCTGATCACTCTAACTGGGACTAAGTTCTCCCACTCACTACATACGTTTATAATACGGCAACGCAAGCACCAACAGGTTTCTCCCCTTTTTACTTCCTCTACGGCCGATCATTCGACGCCGTTTGTTGTAGTGAACCAGCAGATACCAACATCTTACCGGTGGGTGAAATTTTCGGACATCCCCAGGACTTTTACCCACGCCACGCAGACGCCTCGCGCGTCGACGCGTTTCTCGGGCGCTGCAACAGCGTCGCGACGACGCCTAACGCGTCGTCGAGCTGAACAATGGCCTCCAACCCTAATGTGTCGGTTGTAGAAGGCATGGACATCAATCCGGAAGAAGCGGAGTGCGCGGGATGGATTGAAGTAGCCAGCAAGAAGAAGAAACTTGCCGAGCGGGCGGATTGTAACGCTGGTAATGCGCCCACGTCAGCGACAGGAAGCGGTAAAGGCGGCTCCCGCACTGCCGCCTCACAGAACGTGTTGAGGCGTGTTGTGAAAGCTTCCAGGATCCCAAACCTTCCCAGGGATCACTTTAAGACCATTATACGGCCACGTGGAGGGATGGATGTCAAGAAGACAGACCTTCTTATCTTCAAGCGCTCGCTCGCAAAGGCGGCTTCCCTAACAGCAGAGCAGGTGTTCGACGACACGCTGTGCACGAACCCCTTCCAGAACATTTTCGTCGTTGCCACGCCGTTCGAGGCGAATGCGCGCGCCTACGCCAGGGTCCAAGAGATAAGTATGGGCTCGACTGTCATAGGCTTGGCGGCTTACGTGGCTGCGTCTGACAACACATGTAAAGGAGTGATCCGTGGAATCAATGTGGATCTCAGTGACGCAGAACTGACAGAGATGATTGTTAACCGGAGGAACCCTGACGCTCTGGGGGTTCGAAGAATCAAGAAGACACCAACAGTGATCGTGTTGTTTGACGGACAAAAGGTCCCCCAGCACGTCGTGTGTGATGGTGTTCGATACCCTTGTTCCTTGTATCGCAGGCAAGTGGACGTGTGCTATGCATGTGGTGATTTGGGCCACAGGTCCGATGTTTGCCCCAAGGACGATGAACAGAAGAAATGCCGCGGATGCGGCATGCAGTCACCATCACCGGATCATCAGTGTGATCCCACGTGTGCCATCTGTGGCGGAGCGCACCCAACGGCGGACCGCAAGTGCAGAAAGCGCTTCCAGGTGCCCTACATCGTGCGCCAAAGACGGCGGCGCCGCCGTAGGCGCGCGCGGCGTGGCTCCGACACAGCTGGAGGCGAAGAAGGACTGGCGGAAGAAGAATCATTCTCCAGCGCTCATCGCAGCAGATCGGCATCTAGAGGACGCTTCCGCTCCAGAGGACGCTCCGGCAGCAAATCGCGCTCTCGCTCCAGAGGGCGTGACAAGGGCAGCAGTCGCTCCCGTTCGAGAGGACGATCGGGTTCCAAGGGCCGCGTTCAGAAGCAAATGTCTTGGGCGGACAAGGCCAGGATGAACATCCCAAGCGGCCAAAAGGTAACGCAGGGCATTTTACCAGAGCAAAAAAGAGAACAATCAGAGATTTTAATGCTTAAAAAAGAAAATGCAGAACTTAAAGAAGCACTACGAACGCTGAGAGCCGAGTTCGAGCTCTTCCGCAACTCGCGTGAACCCCGTGAAGTAGCCACACCCATACCGGTTCAAGCAGGAGGGTCGAATAAGCGTAAGGCCGTTTCGCCCCCCGCGATCGCGGAAAGCGTGGCAATGCAAAGTGACGAGTCCCCCACTCAGGTCCCTGAGAAAAATGTACTCGCGTCTTTAACGGCGATTGAGGAATCGCTCAAGCAGGTGAGAGAGGCCTTAGCCATTCAATCTAGCACAATGGAACGCATGGACGGGAGCGTCTCCCACCTGACACGTCGAGTAGGAATCCTCGAATCTAAAATGAAAATGATTGACTTTAGCAAACTCAAGGCGACCAACACTGGTACGATTGCAAAAGCCAAGATAGTGCAGCAGGATTCGGACGCTACGAGTTCGCCGCAGGCTATGTTCCTTCAATAATATTCAAAATGGCGGGCCAAACCGGAAACATAACTATCTGGCAGTGGAATTGCGCAAGTTTCTTAAGGCGTAAAGCTGCTCTACTACAGCTCATCAAAGCACAGGCGTCAAAGCCGCACGTCCTGCTCTTGCAGGAAACACTTAGCGAGAAGGTAGTCCTCTCGGGCTACCGTTCAATTAGCGAAAAAGGCGCAAATGGCAGAGGTATCGCCACGTTGGTCAGGAAAGATACCTCCTTTGAGCAGCACGAAGTCAAAATTTGCGACTCGGATAAGAGATCCGGTCTCGAGGCACAATTAATTGAAATCATCCCCAACGGCAAAATCCGAAGCAACATATTCGTTTTTAACCTGTATAGCCCTCCTTCGGCTTATAAACATAATATCCGCTCACTCCTTCATAGGGTCGCAACTGCCGCCAGATCGCACCCTTTAATAGTAGCTGGGGATTTCAACGCTCCCCATCCGTCTTGGGGCTATGTTACGAGGACAAAGAAAGGGGCCAATCTAGTTGCAGCCAGTATAGACTTAAACCTAACGCTTATCTCCGACCCGCGTTTTCCCACGAGGCTGGGAAACTCGGTCGCCAGAGACACGATGCCTGATCTCAGCTTCACTAGAAATGCGGTGGTCGAGTGGTCCAACTTACAGGAGAACTTGGGAAGCGACCACAGCATCATAGAACTCCGGATGGAAATAAGAGCACCACCCCAAAGAACCTATAAATATACAGACTGGGACCTTTTTAGGCAAATCAGAGGTGAAGATAAGTCAGTACATGACACCTTCAGTGAACTTCTTGTACAAATCCAGAAGGATGTCGAGAAGGCCACCAAAGAAATAGTAACAGAATTTGATGCTCCGGGGATGGATGCAAGGTTAGCCCACCTCCTGGACGCCAAACGCTCTCTCATCGCGAGATGGAAAAAACAAAGGCTAAATCGCAGGCTACGGAAAAAGATTGCGGAGCTCAATCGGCATATTGAGGAGCACTGCTCCGAACTCCATAAACAACAATGGAGGGACGCCTGCTCGGCTGCGGACGGGAAAATGCGCAAAGGAGGCAAATGGACCCTCTTCAAACACCTCCTAGATGATGGACAATCCAAAGGCAATCAGAAACTAGCCATAGACCGACTTATTAATAAGGAGAAAATGGCAGGCATCTCAGAAGCTTCCCAATTTCAGATACTTGCCAACAAGTACCTCCCGCTTAGCCAGAGCTCAACTTCTGTCCCCCACCGGTATGAGGGTGTGCCTTCCCCAGAGTTGGACGCTCCCTTCTCGGAAGCTGAGATCAGGGAAGTGCTCCATAGCCTAAACGGAAGGTCTGCCCCAGGTCCCGATGGAGTTACGAATCGGCTCTTAAGAAATTTGGATGATAAAGCCATTCAGGCCTTAGTGAAGGAGATAAACAGGGTATGGGAGGAGGGCGTCGTACCAGAAACTTGGAAGAGGGCCACAGTGGTCTTAATCCCCAAGCCAGGTAAATCACCCAGCTTAGATCACCTCCGCCCGATCTCCCTTACTTCTTGCCTTAGCAAAGTAGCAGAACATGCAGTACACAACAGGATATCGCGCTACATCGAGAGGAATGACCTATTTCCATATAATATGGTAGGTTTCAGGCCCTCACTTTCCACGCAAGATGTCATGCTCCTCCTCAAAACACAAATAATTGACTTTCCAAGCAAAGATGTAAAAGGGGTCCTCGCACTGGACCTCACTAAAGCATTCGATACTGTCAAACACGACTATATTCTTAAGGAGATATCGGCTTTGAACCTGGGAGTTAAATTCTTCTCCTTCGTTGAATCTTTCCTCGAGAGTCGGACGGCGGCAATAAAACTGGGACAATCAGTCTCGGAGCCTTTCAAACTCGGACGAAGGGGTACTCCCCAAGGGGCAGTCATCTCCCCCCTTCTATTCAACATAGCCATGCGCAAGCTGTGGGCAAGCCTTTCTAAAGTTCCTAATGTCGGACACGCTTTATATGCTGACGACATTACAATCTGGTGTCCCGGAGGATCGGAGGCGGCGGTTGAACAAGCTCTACAGGAGGCTCTGGACGTTACAGAGTCTTTCCTGGAAGGTACGGGACTGGCGCTTTCGCCGGAAAAGTCGGAACTCCTGTTGTACAGACAGGCTAGACGAGGTGTTAGGGGACTCACCCCTCTCGATCAGGTGCCCATTAGCGTTTGCACCAAGGATGGTCGCACAATTCCTAGAGTCAATTCTATGAAAATTCTGGGGCTTTTATTAGACTCTAAGGGATGCAACGCAAAGACTATAGCCCATCTCACCACAAAAACAGAGAACATTCTGAGATTAATTATGCGGGTGTCCAACAAGAAGGGCGGCATAGGCGAGGATATCCTCCTTAGGGCCCACCACGCTTTCCTCATGAGCCATATCATATACATAGTGGCGGCTCTTAATTGGACCAAAACGGAAAGGGATAAATTGGACACGCTCATGCGCAAAAGTGTCAAAAAGGTGCTCGGCGTCCCAATCACGACTAGCACAGAAAAACTCATGAAGTTGGGAGTGCACAACACCACTTCGGAATTAATTGAAGCGCAAAGGTCAGCACAAATAATTCGGTTATCGAGTTTCAAAACAGGAAGAAAACTGCTTGATGCGGCAGGCCTCCGTCCTATCTTCAATCAGGGAGAAACTACGCAGCTTGATTATCAACAAGGAATTCCTTTATTGTTGACCCTCTTCCACGAAACATCCATCCCCAACACAATAAAGGTCGTAGGTTGGCGAGGGCTAGGGCTTTCATAAAGAACCTCTCCGGAACAGAGACATTTGTGGACGCGGCGCGCCACGCCGGCGGCAGCGGGTTTTCCGTGGCAGTAGTCAATGACCGGGGAGAACTTGTCTCGGCAGCTTCAGTGAAGACCTCCTTGGTCGATGTAGCAGAACAGGTTGCTGTAGCGCTGGCATTACTGGACACGAAACGCACCACGGTGTACACCGATTCCCGAGCGGCCGTTAGGGCGTTCGCATCGGGATTGATAGCCACAGAGGCAGCCAGAATTCTCCACAGCAAACCCCCCTCAGACGTTATTCATCACATAGTCTGGTTTCCCGCTCACATGGGACCAGACGTACTGCCGGGTCACCTGAACCCAAACGAGATAGCCCACGACTGTGCGCGAGGTTTCACAAGCCGCGACGGGGTGGTCTCTCGGTTGGGTTCGGGAGAGCTCGTCCACAGTGATCCTCTCGTTACTTTTCACGAGATAACATCTCATTACAGAGGAGAGCGACAGACTTTTCCCTTTCCCCATCATAAGCTCCACAGATCACAAGCAAGCACGCTCCGCATGCTCCAGACGGGGTCTTACCCCTCTAGGGGCTTTCTGAGCATGCTTCATCCGGATATTGATCCACTTTGCCCAGATTGTGGTGAATTTTGCTCTTTGAGTCACATGCTCTGGCAGTGCCCTGCGTTACAGGATTTTAAAACAGAAGAAGACTGGACGACGGCAATCACAGACCCCAGACAAGACGTCCAGCTTCAGGCTGTCCAGAGGGCCCGTGAACGAGCGGAGAGGCATGGCCTCTCTGTTCCGACATGGGACTAGCCAACGGCTGGGTGGGGACCTACATAGTTGGCCCGCTGCCTTGCCTCTCAGGACCAAATAAAGTTGTTTGTCCTGTCTACGGCCGTCACCCCTCACACACCATCGACACCATTCTGCCCTATCAACCGGAAACGTCCGAGTGCCTGCCGAACTTGGACGCCGCCAGACACGCAGAAGAATGTCGCCAGTTAGCTCGTCGCTTTGCCTCCGATGACCAAAGCCGGCAAAAAGCCATTCATGATGCCCACACCTCAGCTCTCGTTTTTCTTCCTGGTGCCCTTGCGTGGCTGTCAGTGCCGCATCGCACACCTGGGCTCTCTTTCAACTTCCTGCCAAAGTACGATGGGCCATATTGTATTCTAGAACAGACTT